GTAATGAATTTGATATGAAAGATTTAGGTGAGGCTTATGTCATTCTAGGTATTAAAATAATTAGAGATGATGAGAAAATTTGTCTAGATCAATCTCATTGCATAGAAAAGATTTTGAAGAAATATAAATATTTTGATTGTAATGGAGTAAGCACTCCTTTTGACCCTAATATTCGACTTTTTCCTACTGAGCATGAATATGAAATTGTTGATCAAAATGGATATGCTAGCATTGTTGGTAGTCTTAGATATGCTGCAGATTGTACTAGACCTACATTGCTTATGTTGTGGTTATGCTTGGTAGATTTACTTCTAAGCCTAATTTGAGTCATTCGAATGTTGTTAATCGAGTGATGAAATATTTGAAAAAGACTATGAATTATTGTTTGAATTATAAGTAGTATCTCGCTGTACTTGAAGGGTATAATGATGTTGACTAGAACACCTTATCGGGTGATTCAACGTCAACCATCGGTTATATCTTTACCAAGGGTGGTGGGGCTGTAACTTGGAAATCCAAGAAGCAACATATAATTTCACAGTCGACTATGGAAGCAAAGTTAATCTCTTTTGCTTCTACTAGTGAAGAAGCCAGTTGGCTTAGAGATCTCTTATCTGAGATGCTATGTGGGAAAAACCAATTCATCTATTTTAATTCATTGTGACAACACTGCCTGTATAGGAAGAACACGAAATAAATATTATAATGGAAAATAGAGATCCATTAGGAGAAAACACAGTACTGTGACATCTTACCTAACGAATGTTACCATAAATGTAGATTATGTAAGATCAAATGAAAATTTGGCCGATCCATTAACCAAAGCTCTATCTAGAGATAAGGTTTGGAATACATCGAGGGGGATGAGACTTAAGCCTGTTAAAGATTAAATTACCTATGAGGATACCCAACCTAGGGACTAGAGATCCCAAAAACTAGGTTTAAAGGGGAAAACAAATCATAGAGTAATTAGTAATACTATGCACATACGACTTTATTATTTGTCCATCCCTATGGTGTGGTGCATTGGATCCTGTAATAGTAGAGAAAGGTTGAGTATAATCTCTTAATAGTGTCTATAGTTCATTAGAGTAGGATGTTGGATTACAGGAGCATCCTTGATAGACAACTACCTATATGAATGATGAAAGTGAGGTCGCTTTCCCTGAGAATTGGGCTAATTCTCTAAGACATTCATGAATTGGATAAAGCACATAGCCGTAAATGTGCTAGCTTAAAGAACTCCTATGATACCTAAAATTTTATGTGTTCTAAGTAGTTGTTGTACCCTCAAGTTGTCTTGGTTCAAGACGGATCACCTTGGCACTAGTGCAATAATTTCTTATGGACTAAACAATGGTTCAAGCCATTGGCACCATTGTTATTCATAACATTTCTGTTTATACCCGATTAATCTATAATGTTTTTTTTTTTTTTTAATTTGTCTTTATTCAATAATAAGTAGGGGATTGTTGGTTTATTTTTTAATAAAGAAGATTTTATTAGAAAAACTGTTTTGACCACTTCTTACTCCTCAAATAATGAAGACTACGTGAGCGTATTTTTAGACTTGAAAAAACCAACGTTAACTTTTATTCTCTTATCCACTAGTAGATTTTTATGGGATATATTTGATTTTTTTAGAAGGCTAAATAGGAGAAAAACTTCTCTTCTTAAGAGAACAAGTTTTAGTAAAAACAAAAAGTTTTCTTTATGTTTATTATTGATTATCGGGTATTAATAAAGCAGTGTGAAGTTCTATCTTCTTACGTTATGCAGACGTAAAAAGAGTCCAAAGATAGTTTGAGCCATTGTATCCATAAGACGCGTGCCGAGGAGTTTACTGCACCGAAATTTCAACAGCAGAGGCACGAAATCATCTTAAGAGAGCGACATCTGTAACGTGCCTCATCCTAATCTGTCTTTGGTGGTATTGTTTCAGTAACTTTTTTGGGTTCAAACGGTTGAGGTAAATCTTTATCACTCCATAGTTTATTATTATTTAACTAACACCAACCAAGTCGGGGCCTCCACAGTCCACATCCCATTTTAAATTTTTTATATGTAAAATTATTGTAAGTTTTTGTCAACTTATGAACCTAGAGTGGTAACTCTCAATCTCGGTATGATCACCTTACCTTGTCTTTGCACAATCATTTCTATTTAAACTTCTAGTATGACCACCTCGTGTTTAAGGTGACCGCCTTCTCTTATGTTGGTTGCCTGCAGTATCAGGTGAGCACCTCTGAGTCAGAGTGATCACCTCGTATCTACTAATTTTATTTGAGTTACACGTATTGAGTTTCTAGAATGCATGAACTGTTTTATTCTTTTTTATGATATTTGTGTGGTCCTTAACACCTATCAAATTTATATTCAATGTGCTAGAAAGTTGTTATTCTCTTTGATAGGTGGCATCTTGATATTAGATTTAACTTTTATGAAGGTAAATTCAATGAAGGGATGCTTGCCATCTGTCCATGAATTGGTCGACTGTTTTCCTATATAAACCCCTCTCCTTTGTATTTTTTCTCAAGCCTGATATTTTCTTTGAATAATACACTGAAAATTTTCTAATTTTTACTTTGTTTTGTGTCAGGTTTGTATGCTTAAGTAAAACTTTAAAATACCTCCTTCAAAGTACCCAAATACATCCATGCTCACTATGAGATGTTGAAGCGTGTTGAGCTTCCTCCACTAAAGTGCGTTTTCATTTCTAGTCCTTGAGAGAAGCTCAAGGCTAACCGTGTTGGTTCTTGTAAGCTCACTACGATTATATGTTGTTTATCCAAAGGGTAGAGATTGAAGCGTTGCAAAACAGAGGTATTTTGGCAATTGAGGCTTAATCTCTGACCTTATAATTGAACTGTAAAGTAAACCTAGTGGATTGACTTCATTCTGGACTTGGTCCTATGGATGCAGGTATTTTGCCGAACCATGTAAAACTCTTGTGTGTTTTACTTTTGGTTTATGTTTATTGCTTTATGTTTATGTTTAATGGACTCTTTTAATCAACATGGCAACCATCTCCGCTTAAGTTTTAAATTACTTGGTATATTTAAAACTTTTAATTACAATGGACCCTCCATTCTTTACTAATACTACGTTTCACTCCTAGTTCTAAGACAGGTTCCATATCGAGTACCCAACCTCGGTTCCCATTCTAGGTTCCGGGTTTGATTCTGATTCCTACACATGTAGGAACCGGACCCTTTGAAGGCTAGTTTCGTGTAAATTCCGGTTCTGCTTTCGATTCTACCCCTTATTTCCAATTCTACCTGCCGGTTCTGATTCTACCGGCTACCCATGCTCACCCTACCTAAAAGGTTCATTTCATGCAGTTTGATATTGAAAAAAAATGAAATACCTAAAGCAAAATTACTATAAACTAATAAGTTGCCTTAAAAAACTATTTAAACTGTTTGCCACCGTCATTATTGCAACCATCCTGTCAATTTAATCCTAAAAAAACCAATTGACAAACAAGAGAAATCTAAACTTAAATCAGTAAGGATCACCATAGATTGTGTCAATGTTGCGGGGTGAACATAATTACCAAAAGGCCGAAACTAATCTTCAAAACCCCAATCGAAAGAGAAAAACTTACATCGGACAATCTTATATAGGGGTTAACCAGTCCGAATACCCCTTTTTTTTTTAACAGAACCGGTGTAGACTACTTTATTTGTGGGTCGTCGTTGTAGGCTACTCGGATTTTCTCAGGGTGTGTATGCATGTATGTTTTTGTGTTTATGTCCAGCATTCTTGTGTCCAAGACTTCGGCGTTCGTGATCCCCAAAACGTTACCTTTAGCGTTGTCTATATTGTGGAATTTAACGTTTGACAAGGTGGCAATTATTATGCATGCGACTAACATGGCGTGCTTGCAGCGTTTGAAAACTACTGCAAAGCCAGTGACGCAAGGGAGGTGTCATCTTCGCAGCGCTGACAACGCAAAGTCAGTCTATGTCACCCTCTTTATACATTTCATCAACTTAGCTTTGACCCAGAAGAGTACTTTTCTCCTTTCAGTAGGCTCAAAACCACGGCTAATCGCTAAAACCACTTGGGTTTAATTGAGTGGCTTTGTGACGTTCCCCCTTGAGGTCCGTTGGATGAAAGTAGGTCCTCAGACACGCTCCTGATTCCTGGTTCATGGACTCCTGGCGCAGGATCTTACACTCTATTTTAAGTTCTCAGGATTTTATACTTCAAAGCCCTATCTAAAATTGTGGGCCCTTTTTTCAATGTTTTGGGCCTTCACTTCTTGTTGGGCCTTTTCTCCAATACGGGCTTTGTAAAGCTCTTATGGGGCTTCCTTCACATGGGCTGATTGGACCCATTGTGGTTCTACCCTTTAGCCATTAATTATTTACCCCATCAACAAATTTTAATCTTCAATTTGCAACAACCAAGTCCCCACAGATATTTTTTTTAACTTATTTATCTAATAATCCTTTATCTTATATTTAGGAGACAACTTAAAAGATAAATATTTGTGATACATCACAATTAATTAGTAATATTTTAATAAATTTGCTAACTATGAAAACACCAAATAATTTACATTATCTAAATTTATTGAAATCAACTATTTCTGAGTAGTTGAGTAGTTGGATAGGGACTCTTGAGTATATTACTCAAGAGGTCCTGAGTTTAAGTTCCTTATCGATTGTTAATAGGGATAGTTATTAAAACTTTTATCCAACTGATAGTTCTAAAGTATTTAATCTAGATGATTAGTTGAGATGCGTGTAAACTTTGCATATGGCTAATTATATTCAACCATGATGGGGTAAGCGTTTACAAAATGTCTAAATTCCGATACCCATTTTTAACGTCAGAGAACTACGTGGATACCGAGAGAATTTCCGGTGGTGGGTTTGCCTGATCCTTACTAAAATGTATATGGGACCAGTATGGTACACGATACTCCCAACAAATAAAGCTAATAATAACATCCGCTTTTATTAAATATTATCAAGTAGAGAAAGATCAATTTAACACTTCTGAGAAACTAAACTACATCCAGCTCCTGACTTCATTTCCATGTCTAATTTCTCCCCATAACTCTGCTTACATTCATGGTAGAACAGGGTGAAAACCACAAAGGAGAAAAATGTTACAACACAGAAGAGTAGAGTTGCAACAAACCCAAAAGCAATCTGAGCGATTACCCCAAGCTCATCATCATCATCCGTCAATGTAACATAGAACAATATATAGATCGGAACACTCAGTAGGAATAAAATCAACATAATGAAAAACCCTTCTAGTTTTCGACCTTCAAGAAGCTTTCTCGCTCTTTTGACTGCTGTTCCTCCTTTACAATCTCTCTCCACCGCCGAAATCACCAACCCGAGACCCCAAATTTGAGCCACATAAAGGTACAAAATTATAGCTAGGATTGCCGCTAACCCTTTCCACACAATTAAGCTGATCAATCTGATTGTAATTAAAACAAAAACAGTGTAAATGATTGTGAGAAAAGAAACGTATAGCCATGTGATTAAAGGTTTCGTCCATGTGGATTTGATCCTCAACATCAAATCCATCACCTTCATTGAACTTCCTGCTGTATTATATGCTAGATCTGATGCATAGAATATTGTTACCATCATCTCAAAGAGGAAAATAATCAAGAAGGCCGCCATGAAAAGGAGCTCGACTCCCACCAAAGCTCCTACATCCTTTTGATTCAATTCGCCGCGCTCGTAGCCGTCTTCAACCTTGGCCTCTAGGGGCCCGGCGGTGAAATCGTGAAGTAGGACTAGGAGATAAAATGGACAGAGGATTAGAGGCATAAGTTGGAAGATGAGTTTCCCATTTTTGGCTGGGATTTTTATGGAGTCCCTGAGAATTCCAGTAACTCTCGATGAAGATGCAACCATGGTTGATGTTGAAAACAACTGAGTGTGAGTTTGTGATCACTATAGCTAGGTAACTTGAATATAACAGTATATATGTTGATTTGAAGATGAAGTAAAGATCAAAAGTATGATAACAAAGAAAACGAAAAGTGAATGAGAAATGAACATGTGTTATTGTTTGATTAGATCGAAAGATGCTTTTGTCGAGAGTGATTATTAAGATTATCCGAGGAACTTCTCAACTAATGCAGGTTTAAATGGGGGAACTTCTCAAATAATTATCACTATATATATAGGGGCGGACCCACATGGGGTCAAATGACCCCACTTAGAATTTTTTTGATTTTTTCATTTTGCCCCATAAAAAAACTGAATTGTAAATTAAATTAATTAAAATTTTTTTATTTTCTCTAATAATATATTTTCCCTTTTTTTTCCAATCCCAACATTTTTTTTTTTAATTTAATCTTGACCATGCCACTTTGTCCTATTGTTTTTCATTTTGTGTTGAGCAGAATGTAGCAAAGAAAGAGAATTTCAATAACAATAATCATGTTTCTTATAATATTTATCAGAGAATTAGAGAAACGAAATCAAAGTTTTTAAAATAGACCCCATTAATTAAATCGTTTATCTCATGTATAGTTATAAGAGAATTGTTAGATTAAATTACGATGGATTGTGTTAATAAAAAATATAAAAGACATTCTCTGATGTTAGTGAAACAATATGTATCTCTATAATGTTGGCAAAATGGATAATGACCTCCCCAGGAATTTGTGAATCTATTATGCTGAAAATTTAATGGTCCGTTTGGTACACTATTTAGACACGTTTTAGAATAGTATTTCGAAAAGTTTTGAGTTGGGTTATTTTTACGAAAATATGATTTGAATTTAAAAATGTGTTTATTAAATTTCTAAATAGCATTTTTTGAAAATATTGTGATTATATTTTAATCCCCTAGGTTGGTTAATTTAATTAAACATCTCTCACAATAAAAATTTATAAATTAATAAAAACATCCCCACCCACCCACATATTATTGGCAACTGACCACCACCATCGGAAGGTGGTCGGAATCTACTGGAATAGTGCATGACCGACTGGATTTGGCCGGTTGTGCATTGATCTGACCTTTTTCGACCAGATCCACCATGGATTTGGTTGGAAATGGTCAGATCTACAACCACAGCTCTAGTTGTTGATGGCTAGATCTAGCCATCGTTGACACCATTGATGGCTAGATCTTTGGCCAATAACGACCAAACGACGGTCAAGATATAGCCGTAATTTGGTCGTCAACAGATTTTTGGCCCTCGTTGATAGCCAAGATAGGGCCACTGTTGATGGCCAGATTTGGTCATCAACAGCAAAATCTTTGGTCGTAGATCTGGCCAGAAACAGACAGATAGGTGTACGCTGGCTAGATCTAGCTTGTTGTGTGTCGTTACGGTGGCGGTGGCTAGCGGTGATTGCTGGCGGGTGATAGCGGCTTGGGTTTGTGGGAGTATTTTTATTAATTTTAAAACTTTTATTGGGAAAGGTAATTGTTAATGTTTTGAGTTGAATAGAATAATACTGTATTTTGAAGAGAATTTTGAATATTAAAACAAATATGTATTTGGATATGATTAAATAGGATAGGGTGAAAATGTGGTACCAAAGGGAATTGATCATGTTGTTTAAGAGTGTGCATCAGTGTTGGCAAACCCAAAAAATCTTAAAAGCCAAACAGTCAAAATCTAAGTATATTAAAATACAGTAATATTACACTCACAAATCATTTTCACTAGCTTTCTCTCACAAACACAATATGTCAGCTCGTAATTGGTCAGCTCATAATGGGTCCCGTCTGACCAATTGCAAGTTGCCACGTTAGTGTTTGTGAGAGAAAGTTGTGAGAAGTGTTTGTCAAGTTATCTTTATTCATTAAATTATTGACTCTCTAAATTAACAAATAAAGTTTCACACAGTGAGGAATTTTAGAGAATATGGTAAAGGAATCATACAAATAACTACATATAAATTACCAAAAAACAGAAAAAAAAAATCCGTACCCAGTTGATCGACTCAGGAGTATGTGATATCAAACATAAAAGTATCTTCATTTTATTAAATCAATCCATCATTAAATAAATCTTATAGTTCTTGTAGTTATGCTATATATAATTGGNCCTTAAGGATTATATTTAAATTATGGGCTCATTGGTTCTACGTTTGGTTATCAAAGACCTTCAGGATATAACCTTTATAGCTCTGTTTTTGGGCCAGAAATTAATACTTGGGCTGGCCTTAACTTGGACAGTCCAAACAAAACTGCAATTCTGTTTTCCTCCAAATGAAAAGACATTTAACAGTTTGAGAATAATCGTGTAGAATCGTTTAGTGTAAAATGCATTTGCTGATTTATGCAATTTTTCTTAGGGTCCTGTAAAAAGAACATAACATAAAAGTTAAAATGAGAGTGTCACAGAATTGCCCAGAAACTGCAGGACAAATAAACCCTAGCAAGTATAATAATTGATATTAATACAAAATTTTGGTCAATCTAATTGTCATTGTGTGTCATATAAAAAATAAAATTATAACAGGTGATTTAATAGTCCTATAAATACTAAATCTATGATATAAATTGTATAAGAATCATATTATAATTTAATTTGATGATTGACTTGTAATAAATAAATTAAGTGATTTAAAGTAATATTATACTCATGGTAATCATATTAAAATGCCTATTCTTGAAGCGTTTAATTTTTAATAATCATTTGGGCTTTACATTACAAGAACCTGTTATTGGATAATTGAAAAACACTCAATTGTATGTTATTTCCCACAATAAGGAATCCAAATTCATATAATAAAGAAATGAGGTTGTGGGGGGCGGGCGAATCTTCACCACTCTACTGAGTCTTCTAAAATGGATGCTTAAGGGTGGTAAATAGAGCTTTAATTGGGTTAGCCCAACTCAAGTTCAATATTGTGGGCTTAGGCAAAGAGTTTACTTTTGTAAGATTGTTAATACCCTGTAAACTCGGCCGATTTTTTTTCATTATTTCACTACTATCCTATCCCTATTCCAAATACAAATGCTCGTTTGTTTCCTTATTTTCAAAATCATATCCTAAATTAAGAAATTATTTAAAACCCTTTAGGTTTGTTAATTGACAAAAACACCCCCAATAAAAAATTATAAATTGACAAAAATACCCCCACCCACCCATAGTTGTCAGATTCCAACAACCACCATCGGTGATGGCCGAAATCTGTGACAACGGTGCACTACTGGCCGATTTGACCTTTTTCGACCAGATTCTCAGTGGATATGGCCAGAAAAGGCTAGATCTGACGGCTAAGAGATGGTCGTCGTTGAGTTGGCCATCATTGACGGTCAACGATGGCCATATTTTTGGTCGTGGCTGACGGTCGGATCTGGCCGAAAGAGGCTAGATCGGCACACGAATGGCCAGATCCAACCGGTCATGCACCGTAATGCTAAATTTCGACTAGATTCCGGTGGTGGTGGCCGGAACCTGGCAACTGTGGGTGGGTGGGGGTGTTTTTGTCATTTTACAAAAAATTATATATTGGGGTGTTTAGTAAATTAGCAAACTAAGGGGGTTTTTTTGTTATTTTTAAATTCTACCTCGTAATAATCACCCAACTCCACCTACAAATAACATTTCAAAAATACTACTCAAAATACTAAAACAAACACCACAAACTCGCTTAAAGGATAGAATTGTAAAAAAAAATGTTACATAACATTAAAAGAAATTAATTCTCTCATTTATTTTATAAGTCACTCATCCCAGAAGATATCTTAAAACTTCAACATCATATAGAAATTGAAAGGGGAAATTTTGAGATTTTCTTTTTCTTTTTAAGAAGGATAGCACTATTATTATCAGAATATAATTCATTGTAAAAGTTTGTAATTAAAACTACTGGTCATGAAGAAAAATAATCTCCTAATTTATTTTAGAAAAACTGTGCCCCTTGGATGATAATTATGAAAAGAAATTCAAAAATTTTCCTTTTTCTTTATTTTCCTAAGAAGTAATTTTTTTTTTTTTGGGTATGCATCTTATAACTTTAAAATTCAAGAGCTTATACAATTTGAGTTTCATTCTAAAATTTTGAGGATTTTTTTTTCTTTTTAAATGGAAAGAATATTGTGAACGTTAATTTATTGTATGAAATTGATTTTGTACCATTTACATTTTACATGGATTAACATAAACCAAACCAACAATAGTGATATCTTTTTTGAAAAAAGATAGGGATCAAGATTCAAGAAGTCCCAGAATTATATAAGTAACCAAATGGAAAGCTTGCGCGTTATACGGGTATGTTTATTATATATATATATTTACATTATTATTGGTTTTTTTTGTGTTTTAAGTAATGTTTTAAAACCCGGTCCGGTCCGGCCGGTTCAATCGAGACCCGGCCACTAAGCCGGGCCGGATTAGCATAAAACCCAGATTATATAATTCACCTAGTATGACCCACGGTTGACCGGAGATACTGTAGCAACCCCCCAGTCTAATCGGTTTTGGAAAAAAAGCGGGTCAACTCTAACCCCCTCCTAAATGTGATTTTATTTTTTTTACATTTTTCCTCAATTTTTCATTCTTTCAAGCCCTAACCCATATTTGCCCTCTTCCATTAGTCTATTCCTAAATTTCTTCATCAATTTTTCATTTCTATCTCTTCATTTTTTCATTTCCACTTCAACGGCAGCTTTGTTTCATCTTCGTTATCTTCATTTCATCTCATCTTCAACGGCAATTACTTTCAGGAGTGATTCTCTCTTCCATAGAAGATGATTGTTCAAGTCAAACAAACAGCACACATCAAAATAAAAAAACACAAGAACAAGAAAAAAAGCAAATACCCAGATAAGAAAGCATGAAAAAGGAGAAGAAAAAGACTTACTTGGGCAATGAAGAGAGAGAGGAGGGAAGGGGGGGGAGGTGGAAATGGTGTTACTATGAGAGTCTTGTCATCTCTCT